ACGACCATCTGTGAATTTCTTAAGTCTGATGGCTGTACATTTCTATCTTAATCATGATTGTCAAACCTAATCTTGGTCATTGATATAAAGAAACTTCAGCTAATTATCTGCAGGCATAGCAGAAAAAAAAGATTTGAAATTTTTATTATTGAACTGAGCAGTGAATAAAAAGGATTTTTTTTTTTTTACATTTAAGGCACTAATAGAAGTACTTTCATAAAAGTTGGTCAGTCAGCAACAAACTTAAAATTTGCACTTAGGATGCTTCTGAATTAAAATGACTAATCATGGCTTTGCTGTTTTTAAACTTTTCTATATATAGTAAAACATGCTTATATCGAATTGAAGTATCAGGGATAGACAATTTTAATTTATTATAAGTTTATCTTATAGGTAGTATCCACCACACGTGTGAGATTAAACTAATTAGTTTAATCCCATGCTTGTGGTGGATACTATCCATAAGATAAAGTAATGTTTTATCCTTCCGTATGATTTATAAATAGCACTTCCGGTTTTGACACAATCCGATGCTTCAAGATGTAAAATTTTCGAAACTTTTATTTTTGAAAGTTCTTGCATTTTAACATAAATGATAATGAGCAAACATTTTGTTAAAAACAAGAAAGCTCTCGTTTTATCTCAACGAAATTACATTTTTTTTAACTGACCACTGTAAATATGAATGTTAACCCCACTCTCCACACCCCCAACACGTTCTCACAGGAAACATTAGGCCTATTAGTGAAGTTGGTGTTTCATGATCATTTTACCATTCAGGAAAGTGATCTGGCCACTTTCATCAATACTTTCTTACATTATACTATATAACTTACTATGATTCTACAAATAACTGGCTTAGCACTGTCACCATACACAGAATGATTTCAGAATAGGATTACATTTAATGATTCCTCGGTCTTTACAACGTGTAGAACTTCAAAATCAAACGTTTGTATAAAAATAAATCAACAAACTGTCACATATATTTTAAAAGACGCAGCAAATATCATTCCAAGATTTAATATTTTGTATAGATTTACAAAAAACTTTCAGCATTTCAATGTTAACAGTGCGACGTCATCAATTTACGCGTTGTCGATTTGGATAGAAAGCAATTAACATCATTTTACAGGGATTATCTTAATTTTTTGTGAAAAAAGAAAATCTTATGAGATAACTAAAATATATATAATTGTGCAAATAATAAAACATCTATAATTGTGTGAAGTGGTATTCGCTTTATCCACGTCGTTTAAATTGTGTATATTCGCTCGGAAAACATCGGGAATATACACCATTTCAACTCATTTGATAAAGTACAGTACCAAATATTTTCTTAACCCACAGATCTCTTAGCTGTAAGCGTCATTTCATATATAAGCTCCTTATCTATAAGCATGTTTTTCTGTATTCCTTTGTATAACTTTGATCATTGTTGTTGCTCCACACAATCCCTAAGTGTTATGATTTTTGAACGATAAAAAGATGCTTGAGCCATCTGCTCTGGTGAGCAAAAAATGGACCAAAGAAACTCGAAACCTGATTTGTACAATATCAAGAGACATACCATAAATCAGCTCATTATCTACCGGTGTTGTAGAGTAGGATTTCCCCTCTAAAATCTTTTTCCCCCAGAAAACTGACTCAAGAGTAGGATTCCCCCCCCAGAAAATAGACTCTAGAGTAGGATCCTCCCCCCTACGGAAATCCCACATCAGATTCATTTTCAGGCACAAGCATGGGAAAAAGTAAGGAAAAATTACTATGCCAAAATGCAAACATTCATTTTATAAAATACTTTATTGTATGATTGAATAATTCCCAATTTCTCTGATTGGCTGAGATCCAACAATGTTAGAAAAACACTACGTTATATTGACCTGCACGTGACCCTCCAGGTCAATATAAGGAATTATTTCCAGGTCAATATAGGGAATTATTTATTCTACATTGGACAAAAAATAGATAATCGTATAATAAAACAGTTATTGCTGGGTTTTTTTAGGTCAATACGATGATTTAGACACCTTCGAAGTACAGTATTCACCTTGCCCTTCGGGCTCGGTGAATATTGTACTCCTCGGGTGTCTTAATCATCGAATTGACCTCAAAAAGCAGCAATAATTGTATATTAATTAAAAAAATGAATTTATTTCTTTCATGAAATAATAATTAACAAAGTGCATTAATTTTTTTGTCAAAACTTGAAAACCCGTGCTTGTATATTTCTTTTTTTTTAATTTAGAAAGATCAATGAACCCTGAATGAAAATGCAGAAATAAAACTAAAATGATAAAAACAACATGAGGCCCATGGGCCACATCACTCACCTGAGCACTGTGGCTTGGAAAAAAGCAAAAATCAGTTCAGTATTGAAGAGCTTTAATGCATACGTGGTCCCAACCTACCCCTAAAAAAGAGGGGGGGGGGGGGGGTATGATTTGAACAAAATTGAATCTACACTAACTAAACACGCTTTCATATTTCTTTGACTAATTGTGACTTTTTTCACTACAAGTTTGAACTTTCATTATGATCCTACCCTATCCCCTGGGGTCATGATTTGAACAAATCTGAATCTACACTATTTGAGGATGCTTCCATATAAATATGACTAATCATAGCTTTGCTCTTCTTGAGAACAAGATTTGAAAAAAAATGTCCTATGTATTCCTATGCATAACTTTAATAATCAATTGTGACCACTACATATCCCAGGAGATATTTATATATACCAGTGGGTAATGATTTTTATCAAATATGAATCTACACTACCTTGGATACTTCCTAATAGTTAATAACCAATCATGGCTTTGTTGTTCTTGAGAAGATTTTTCCTATATATATTTCTATATAAAACTTTGATCGTCCATTGTGGCCCCAACCTACCCCCGGGGGTCATGATTTGAACAAACTTGAATCTACACCACCTGAGGATGCTTCTATATAAATATGACCAATTATGGTTTCGCTGCTCTTGAGAAGATGTTAAAAGATTTTTCCTATATATTCCTGTGTAAAACTTTGATCATCCATTGCTGCCCCAACCTACTCCCGGGGGTCATGATTTTAACAAAATTGAATCTACACTACCTGAGAATGATTCCACACGAGTTTCATATTTCCTGGCTCAGTGGTTCTTGAGAAGTAGATTTTTAAAAGATGCCATTAATTTTTCATTAATTTGTAATTATCTCCCCTTGGAAGAGAGCATGGCCCTTCATTTGAACAAACTTGAATTCCCTTTATCCAAGGATACTCTGTGCCAAGTTTGGTTGAAATTGGTCGAGGAGTTCTGGAGAAGAAGATGAAATTGTGAAAAGTTTACAACGACAATGACGACGACAACGACGACAAACAATGGACAAATTTCGATCAGAAAAGCTCACTTGAGCCTTTGGCTCAGGTGAACTAAAAATGTTTATACCCGTTACCATGGTAACATTCTTAGTTTGAATTTTTAAATCTTGATTGCAAATGTATATATTTATGTATATTTTGTACCAGCAACGATTTTACATAAACATGTCCTGTAATCTTGATTCTGAGTATCAAAACAGTTGAAATTCCTACAGAGAATCTCTTAACTCTACATAGGTTACATTGGTTGCTATGTGCTCAGAATCGTTGCCATGGGAAAATCAAGTGAAAAATAAAATTTTATAAGATGCTAATTACATTGTAAAATTTGCCTAATCACAATTTTACAGCATGCTTTGAAGAATCCTTAACAACAGGTACATGAACATGCTAAAATTATTATTCTATGATGTGTTGCTAAGGGGAAATTGCTGTTACCATGGAGATTACAAATTGTAAAACATTCCATAGCTTGCAGAGAGGTCTCAAAAATTTCAATTTATTGTAAAATTTGTTTTGAGTATTCAAAGATAACAAGTTATGTGATTTATGACTTTAGCATTCTACATTTTTTCTCTTTTTATTCATCAAAACATCCATTTTTGTTGCTAGGCAACGGATAGGAATGTTTAAAAATTATACGCTTCTGAATTCAAATTCTAAAAGACAGAATCCTCTGCTTTTATGTTATATACATAGGATGTCTGTATGAGGTCCATCACTGGAGTAATTAGGCATTGAATAATTCCAAAATCAAGGAAAATGCTGAGTCAGCAAAAAAGGAAAAACATGCATATATTCACACATCTATCACAGATATATCTTTAAATCTTATTTCTATATTTTGATTGTGAAGACTGTTAAGATCATTATCTTGAGAATAACAGCAATGAAAAAGAAATTCTTTTAGTATTTACATTTAATTTGAGCCTGAAAGATAAGAGATTTTTTAGTCCATCAAAGCTGAAAATCGGCTGGTTGCTAGGGAAAATTCTTTACCCATGTTTCCATGGTAACCGTGAATCAAAACATTTTTCCTTTTGCATACATGGTTCATAGGGCAAAAGAAAACTATGTGTGGAAAATCATCGAATTCCGAGAACCCTCATATATCACCTGCATGCCTATTTTGCATGATCTTTACAAAGAACTGTACTTAATTGAAAAATCAGTTTTATAAAACATAACATATGGTCTAATAAAGTTTGAGTACATTTTAGTGCTTTCATTAAAGTGTCAGAAAGTTAAGTAATTTATTTTCATAATGGCTTTAAATTTCTGAGTTATCCATCACACTTTAATCCCAATTCATAGCATGTGGTGATTTCTCTGGGTGTCAACTTCAAATATTTTACTGCATAGACATTTCTGCAACATGCTTAACTGGCTGAATCTGGAGGATGGATTTTATGCATGACAATTATATTTGCAATGCCTACATTTCATTTAGGTACACATTTTCAGGGGCTGGCTGCTAATGATGGGGATATTTAACCGGAAATACCTTTCACAAATAATTGACATTATAATTAGGCCTACTTGAAATTTCTAGACTAGTACTTTCATTTAAAACCTGAACCAAAAGTTGATCACATACGGTGTTCATGAACACATATACATATATTTGCTATACTTACAAATTTTATCTCTCTGCTTTACATTCAGAAAAAATCTCTTCACAGTTTCCAAGTATTCTGAAAATTATGAGAACATAAATCATTAGAAAAATACACATAAAATCCTCACAAAATGAAAGATTATCAATTTAAGGTTCATAAAACTTTTTAAAATTCAAAGACTTAACAAGCTGCATCTATGTATTTCAATTATAACTACACATCTAAAGTTAAATACTGCAGCAAATCAATAATTTCAGCTTCCATTACCTTAATATATACTTCAAAATTGGAATTGTAATTTTGAAATTATAGTGTTCAACCGTGTACTAATATTCCAAAACTTGTATCCAGACTACAGTGAAATTCAAACTTTTAATGACCTTTGTTAACTATGTGCAAATTAACAATCATTTATGTAACTGGTTGTGCTATCATAAAGGAAATTTTAGATATATCTAAAGAGATAAATTATTTTTTTACAGAAGAGACCCATGGGCCAAAGTGCTCAACTGAGTCACCATTTTCTTCCTGATCATGTACATTAAGATGCAAATTAATAAAACATTTTATCATGCTCATTGGTGTGCAGTCAGCTTCCAACATCAAAAAATGAAAATTCTTTAGAATAGGTCCAGGGGGCTGAGACACCAAACCGCTGGGTATTTTACAATTCTGTTCACATTAAAATGATTTAGATTGTAAGTTAGCATAGAAATGGACAATGTCAATACAGTCAAGTGCTTTAATGACTGCAACTTTTTTTTACTTTAATAGTGAAAAATAAAGGTGAACAGATATAAGAATACTGGTATTTCAATTTTTGGATGGAGAGAAATGAATATAAATTGCAAAGTGTAATTAAGATGCTAAAACGATAAGCCTTAATTATGTCAAAATTGTAAGGACTGGCAACTCTGGTTACATGTATGTCAAAATTAAAGTCTAAGATTCAATAGCTTTAATTTACAGTTTATTGGGTGTGATGTCACCTTTACCAATTTTAGCCACTGGACACTTTTTGATCAGAAAAGTTCACTTGAGCCTTTAATTTAGCTGAAGTGAACTAAAAGTCATTAATTTCTACAAGACTTCTGAGATCTTCACATTTCTTGTATTATAATTTTTACTGTTTTTCAGTGCTTCCAGGTGTATATGTGGAAAGATGAACACAAAAACCATGAAAGATAAATCACAAATAAAGAGAAAAAATTCTACTGTGAAGAGTAAATTACGTCATACAAACAAGAGGACCACTCATCTTGGAGCTACATTGTAAAGTGATCGAGTCCTATAATAATACAGTCAAACTCAGGTATACTGAACAGGATACAGCAGTGTAGGATTTACTGCTGTAATCATCAACAGAAATAACATTTATAAAGATACAATCTGTGTTAGATTTCATAGTGAAGTTACAACTGAGAGTCTGAAATACTCCATACAGAGGTTGTTATCGGTTAAATTATTGGAAGGTTAAATACAACATAAATGCATAGCTTTTTGTTAGGGATATAAGCATTACCAAGCGAATGAGATACATTAAAGGCTGAAATATCTGAAAAAATAATAAACTGCAACTTAAAGAAAAAAAGAAACAAAATGCAATTAATTAAGAAATAATGTATCATTTTTAAACATCTATCAGGATATAAATACGGGTTGGTCATGAGATCAAATTCCAAAAAGCCCGAAGGGTTTTATGGTAAATTTGATCTCGTACCAACCCTTATTTATATATCCTGATAGATGTTTAAAAATGATACAATATTACTTATATTTACATTTATGACTTATTCATATTTTATAAATTCCTGATTACAATCTTTAACGCGTGAAATGTTTTATTTTTCAAACTAAACGGCACATATTTCATCCATCAATTGCGCGTCGACCCTTTATGACGTCATTGAGAAATTACGTCGAACGTTTATGACGCGAGGAACCCACGTTTATATGGATATAGATACACGTTGCTTTTAATAGTGTTATATAAAAGAAAACATTTGCAGATGTAAATATTAAACATATAAACATTTCAATACTGCACTTGAGGATATGGTTTACTGGGTAAATAAAATGTTACTTGTTAAAGCATGGATTCACTATATCTTTCTTTGCTTTAAACATGTTTAATGCAATTTCTTTATTTTTAGCCAAATAAAATATCATAATAACAAGAGGCCCAAGGGCCTTAATGGTCACCTGAGTATGATACAACAATTTAAAGGATGCATAGAGTATAAAATGAACTGAAAGGTGAAGCTTTGTTGCCCAAAAGCAAGAAAAATAGGGTGATCATGATCAACAAAATAATTGGTCTTAATATTTATTAACAGTTCTTAAATTAGATTCAAATCTGTTCCCCATTTATCACTATCACCATACAGTATATTAACAAATTATCAATGCTTCTGTACTATTTTAATCCCTTGTTGAAATCTTTTATATTGGCCTCTCTTGGTCTTTGATGAACATTTAATAAGACAAGTTATTTTTGTCTCATTTTTATTTATCTATTACTTACAAGTCTATCTGATCATTAAAACTATGAAAGTACTTTTTGTATTATACAATAAAAGTTTTTGCATAATTCTCTTCCTCTATTTAACTTTCAAGTACATTATTTACAGTGATAAATTATCAAAAGTAAATGGCAAAGGGGAATAACTCCTCTCAGTAGAATACAAACTAATAGAGCCCTGGCCAGGACCAAAACACTTGACCAAATGGTCCAGATGTTCAAAAATCTGGTAAAGATTCCCTACCTTATAAAAACTTTTACTGTGTTTGCCTAAGATATGGCCAGGTGCGGAGAAGATTTTTAAAGAAATAATACATTTTTTACTACAGATTCACTATATTATCAATAGAGCCCCCACCCCCCCAGTTCTTTATTGTTTAGAACTGTAGCATTATGATTTTATATATTAGTCTTTGACCATAACACTACAGATCCTGTAATGCAAACATGGTGCAATTTACGGTGCAAGATTTTCTGCCCACCACTGGGGAGAATTTCTCCACTTTCCAGAATTGGTCAATCAACTCCCTAAATTCTAGACATATTTTTTAAGCAAACTGTATATTTATACCCCTCCTAACCCTTTACAATCGTCTCTACAGACCAAAAAACTTGCTTGTTTTGAATTTTCTGCCACCCGACAAAAATTCAAAACAAGCGAGTTAATTGGTCTGTAGAGATGAATATAGACGGTTAGAAGGTATAGATAAAATATTCAGGTTGTTTAAAAAATGTCTAGAATTCAGGGAGAGAAAGGTAGTTGATTGACCAATGCTGGAAAATGGAGAATTCTCCCCAACCATGCACAGAAAATCTTGCGCCATAAATTGCACCATATTTGCAATACGAGATCTGTAGCGTTATGGTCAAAGACTAATATATAAAATCATAATGCTACAGTTCTGCAGCTAGAAAACTATTTTTCTTTTTAAAATTCATTTTTCATTTTAAACCTGTTGAATAGAAAAAAATGATTGTAAGGAATTGAACACTGATTTGGTAATACATGTATTATGAGGAAGGTTACAAAGGTACACTTTTTCCATTTTTTTGACAATATGATTGACACTGGACATAATAGTAAATAAGCCACCTATAATCATTGATTAGATTTTAAACTTAAGTCCCTGTTGATGAAATCAAATCAAATATTACTGGTAAATGTCTTAAGGAGGTTATGTTGGAGCACATTCTGTAAACATACATAAATCATCACACCCTGTCCCAAAATTACACACAATCGTCCTCTTAATCTGATTAGGGCTATCTTCAATTAGGGCACTAGAGTTTTAACTATGATAAGTATAAGTTTTAATCATACATTAGCATGTGTATAAATTAGTGGAAAAGAGGCAATGCAAAAGAGGTTTAACATGACTAATGCTAAAATAAGTATGTTTACATTATACATAGTACATCATAAGAATTTTAGAGCCTAAACATGCTAAACTTGCATGAACTTGGAGGAGCTTTACTGAAGAATGCATGCATGACTATTTATGTTACCAATGTTTTATAAATAATTAACATATACCAATAAAATAATAGGTTATCAGATCATTTCATGACAATGTGTATGGGTTATTTAATTGAGATACATGCAGTTGAACTTTGGTATCTTGAACACCGATCTTGAACACCAGGTTCAAACCATTTTTCTTTATGTGTTGTAACCTCAATATATTGAGGCCTCAGATATCTAAAAAAAATCTCAATCCCATTGAGTTCAAGATATCAAGGTTTGACTGTATCTTTCAACAAATGGCCAAATGAAGAAAAAAAAACCAAAACTTTTGAAACATACACTTGATACATGTACATCATTACAGTATCCACTGAGAAAAATATCACAGACCATTAATAAAATCAATAATATACATGTTCAATGGACAGTCTAACAGAAATAACTACTTACTTAAGGGTTCCGTGTTATCCTCAACTAGAAAACCTGTAAAATATTCAAAATAAACAGATTACATCACAAATAATTTGTATAAACAGTAAAATACAATGTTTAACTCTGTAATAGGAGAGGGATCTAAGAACTTTTTTTTGTAGGTTAATCCAACTTTGATGCCTAAAAACTTAGGAGTGGTTTATCTTAAATATTCAAGTGTGAAATATATGACCATAGAAGTTTTTAAGACTCAGGTGGTTGAGTCTACATATATATATATATATATATATATATATATATATATATATATATATATATATATATATATATATATATATAAGAAATAAATCCTTTACTTGCATACTTGTTTATAATAGAGAGGTTAAGCAGATGACCTTGTACGTCTATGTGTATGTGTAGCTAGGGAAATTCCCTAATTTACTGCGATTTACGTCATCAGTTTTGCATAGCGCGTAATTCTACAAGTTGTACACAACGTGTAGATTCATAAGTACACGTAGGAAAGAACGTGTAGCTTCTTAAACTCAAATTATAGAATATATTTTTTTCAGGAGATGTTTGTTGTGATGTTGAGAGTTTATTACGTACATCTACGCATCTTTTTTAATCAAAGTCATAGAATTATTTGACACAAATGGATTGTAAAGGTGACTTGTTGAAATGACATTTTACACGTACCGGTACACGTATAGTTTGTTAAACAGAACACGATGTTAGTTACGCGTACTTGTAAAAACACGTCTAGGTTTACACATAAACGTAGAGGCACACGGTCAAATGCTTAACCTCTCTATTAATTAACATTTATCAACCATGCTGACATTATAAGAATTAACCACACTTAAAGACTGTAAAACTTCTTCAGATACAATCATTTTTCTCTTGCCTAACCAATCACTCTGCAATTTGTTTTTGTGAAGCACTAGGACTCAAAACCATTAAATCTCTTAATCCCTGATAAGCAATTCTAGTACTGCCCAAGCAACCTATTCAATTAAATCTAGTACAGTAGTGTGCACTTGATATACATCAAAACTGAAATATGCAGCTCCATACTGCAAATCAATTGATATACTACTTAAAATAACACTTAAAATCTTATTTTGTTGACAAATCAAATTTTTGTTGACTTTCAGCATTTAAGTTACACATACTTTTGTAGAAAAGGAAGATGAAAATGAATGTGGCTAACATCCCTCCTATTTTTGACTGTGGTAAGCCATGGAGAGGGTTTTTGCACCTTATCATCATTCTGAAAAGAGAAAAATAAACAATTCATAAAACACTTTGTCTTGAAGGTGTATAAAGGAAATTCCACTTTCACTCCCCTTGTGTCCATAACATTAATTACTGAGTCTTTTTACCATACATCTGTTTATATACAGTTGAACTTTGATATCTCGAACACTGATATCTCCTGAAATGTCGAAGTGATTTGGAAGTCCCAACCACTTATTCTTTAAGTACTTTACCTCTGATATCTCGAAGTTTTTTCTCAGTTCCATCGAGTTCGAGATAATGAGGTTTGACTGTACAATATTTTAGAAAATAAATTTTAGAGAGGTTAAAAATAAAATTGTATCCCTTGACATACATGGAGATATACTGCAAACCTGATTATACTAAACAGTCAAAGAGTTGAAGCTATACCATTCAGGTATTTTTGAAATATGGTGAGTGGAAATTTTAATGGTTTATATTATTCCTTTGTCAATGTCTTCAACATTTCCACAACTGAAAGTAAAACTTGGGTAATCGAAGGAATATGGGTGCTTTCCCTAATCCATTTAACACCACTATAGTCTAAACTTTTCACAATTCTCACCTGAAGTTTTATATCTATGTATGTGCATTAGACATCTCTTTCTCCATCAAAACAGGGAACTTGATGAATATAAAGGCTTTAAGCTGTATTTCTTTTTGTTCACCATGGCCCATCCTGGTCATTAAAAGTAAATAAATAAAATAATTAATGTTACTTTGTATTTATCACCCCCCCTTTTCCCCCTCCAAGGAAAAAAAAAATAAATGAAAGGAAACACAAATTCTTTGTCAATTGGGACTAACTCACTGTAATTAATTTTTTATGACCATTTTTTTTTTAAAGATTAATTTTGAAAAAACCATGGAATGGTGTTCTCAAAGATTTCTGTTGTATTTCAGACTTACTCATGGTATGGATAATTTTCGTGCACTTGATGCAAGATCTAAAAGTCAACTCGTCACCATATTCAAAGCTTTAACAGTGATGACTGGACTTTTCAATGTTTGGTACAATCTCGACTTGTCAAAACAGATAAAGGATTTGATTACGAGTCGTTTAGGTTTTTCGTGGTATAGGTTTTTAGTTGACATCATTATGAGCCGCTCAGCTCAGGTAAATACCGAATGACGAAATAGCTAGTATAATGATTACTTACTACTTCGTTTTATGTCTATGCTGCTTATCAAAACAACATTATTGTCTTTCACACTTCAAAAATACCTTCCAGAGCTGGCTGGGTCTTGACTGTTTACTTTCACATTTCGATTTTCCGGAACTGGAGGGATACTAGTTAACTTGTCCTTGAAATAACTCGATTTCGTTTTCCGAGCGTTGATTTCCACAAAAGCCTTTGTAACTTTTAAGACTTTTAAAAAAATTAAGGTCTTTCTATGCACTACACACTTAAGATATTTAATTATTAGTAATATTAGTAAAAATATGCTTATGTGCAAGTCTGTGTGATTTACATGCACACCAATAATTCACACGCAACTGAAAAAAACTTTCCTTATATTTACATATTTTACATGTTTAAAAGCAGCAAAAATACACTTAAGGTCAAGATCTAGTAAATGAATTCAGACTAACTTTTTGGTGCTAGATCCATTATGACGTCATAATCAATTTTAACTTTCTTTTTCCCGTACTTTACGGCTCTAGTAGAATTTTGTAGAAAATAAAGTACTTTCATAGAATTCAATTTGAAATCATGTGAAAAGTAATCCCGATACCTATATTCAATTTAATATTATTTTAAAGAAGAGGCCAAGAACATACAAATTACCGTTTTCTGAGAGACTGTAGGCAATCTGGATGCATTTCTTTGTCTGATATGGAAAAAAACTCCCGTATTCATGACCAGTTTTCTTAATTTTCCATGGAAAATGACAGTTTAAAATATGATTTTTCGTCTTGTTCATCTACAAATTATGCCCCGAAACACCTTATCTGACCAAGCTAAAGTTATAAAGCACCATTAAAGGAATTTATTTCTCAAATTTGAGAAATCTGTAGGCACCTTTCATTTACTAGATCTTGACCTTAATGTTTGAATTTCTCGCTGTCCTATATCGTTATACTATTATTGACGTCTCTGTAGCCTCATTGTGATTTGTGACGTCACTTTGGCGCGATTTTCTCTGTGAGTATGTACATTGATGTACACGAAAATGAAATTCAAATCAATTTTCTCAGTTAGTATAGTAGACAATAATTAAAAAAGTATATATATTATAGTAGAAAAAAGCATATACAGTAGAAAAAAAACTATTAAATGTAAATATTAATTCTAGATTAAACGATCGCAATTTATAACAAACGAGGAAACAGTTTTCCTTAATTCCGTGATATTTTTATGTAGTTACAGTGATCCGCCCTTAGTCTTAGATTTAAAAATAAAATTAAGTGAAATCTTCAGGGTAATGAGTAATGAATTCAAGCATTCTTGACATTTTACAGCCAGGGCCAATGCAAATTCATGGAATATTAATGGACATTTAAAAAGCTCTGAATATTGTTTTATAAAACGCCAAGCATATAAGGGAAGTTGATGTTTTTGCTATAATTGTAAACAAACATGCATGAAAAATATACAGTACGTGTATTGTGACCGACTGATCATAATAGTTATTGATCATAATAGTTTTGTGACGTAACAATTCCAAAATGATGACATAATTATATTTCTGTATGTTCAATATTCTGAAAAACAGCTAGACAAGTATTTTCAGCAAATTAAAGGGTCGAAATGAGATTTATAATAAGTTTGTTTGATAAAACTTTTCAATGAAAATAGAGCTCGACCAGGACGTGTACTCTAAATCAACAATTCCATTTTTCTTTTATTGGTTAGTTAATAATTAACTCAGGTATAGGGCTATTTACGTTGTCAAGGAAGTTTTTCAGTCTAATATTTGGCACTCTAACAATTATTAGACAAAACATATTCTGAATAAAGCACACTATAGTGATCTATAACAATGCAGTGTTTTTTTAAAAAAGAAACCCGAGTAACAAGAGTGTTAGCTTTGATAATTAAAACATGCAACTCTTCTACCATATAACTATTTCTATGTGTATCTTCAGGCATTACTTCAACTGTCGACATGCAACTTATTATCTTGCATGTTGATTTAAGTATCATACATGTTAAAATATAACTCGCACGTTAACATGAATAATTTTAAGTCGCATGTTGACATAAATAAGTTGCATGTTGACATAAAATAAGTCACATGTTGACATAAATAAGTTGCATGTCTACATAATTTTGTTGCATGTCAACAAAAATAACTCGCATATACTGACATTAATATCTTGCATGTTAACATAATTATCATGCGTGTTCACATAAATAAGCTGCATGTCAACATAATTATGTTACATCTTGTTTGTATGATGTCGTATGGTGGCGTTAGGAATTAGGTAAGTTTACCAACAAAAATTTAGATTCTCTCAAAAGCTTGGTAACTTGCATATCAACATAATTATTACGCTGCTCGCCGACTGGAAAATTCGTCTCATCTTAAGACGCTTACTACACCAAGTATATCAACAATATAATACCCTTTTTGTTTAAGATTCATAGTTTTCCTCTAAAGCACTTGAGGATGCGTGTAGAACAATCACCCGTTCTTCTGACGAAACACTCCTTCTCTGTAAGAGAAAGAATTATAGCGATACTACAGTGCGTTACAGATAGAATTCTCTCTGAGGTTAAGTTAAAAATATGACTATTGTCTTTAAAAATAAAGCACTTTAAAAAAAAGAGCTTCCGTGGAACAAAACTGTTATTAGTATCGTCTTCGTTGGTAGCTCCAACTTCCCTCCCACGTTGAATTTCTTTTCATACATTTATGAAGCAGGGACTCATATGAATGTTAACTGAAGCATATATCTAATCAAGATTTTTAGCTCACCTGAGCCGAAGGCTCAAGTGAGCTTTTCTGATCACTTTTTGTCCGTCGTCCGTCTGTCCGTCCGTCCGTCTGTCCGTCTGTCCGTCTGTAAACTTTTCACATTTTTGACTTCTTCTCAAGAACCACTGGGCCAAATTCAACCAAACTTGCCACAAAGTATCCTTGGGTGAAGGGGATTCAAGTTTGTACAAATGAAGGGCCACGCCCTCTTTCAAGGGGAGATAATTAGGAATTAGTGAAAAAATAATGGCATCATTTAAAAATCTTCTTCTCAAGAACCACTGGGCCAGGAAAGATGAAACTTATGTGGAAACATCCTCAGGTAGTGTAGATTCAAATTTGTTCAAATCATGACCCCCGGGGGTAGGGAGGGGCCACAATGGGGGATCAAAGTTTTACATAGAAATATATAGGAAAATATCTTTTAAAATCTTCTTCTTAAGAACAGCAAAGCCATGATTGGTCATAATTATATGGAAGCATCCTCAGGTAGTGTAGATTCAAGTTTGTTCAAATCATGACCCCCGGGGGTAGGGTGGGGCCACAATGGGGGATCCAAGTTTTACACAGAAATATATAGGAAAATATCTTTAAAAATCTTCTTCTTAAGAACAGCAAAGCCATGATTGGTCATATTTATATGGAAGCATCCTCAGGTAGTGTAGATTCAAGTTTGTTCAAATCATGACCCCTGGGGATAGGGTGGGGCCACAATGGGGGATCAAACTTTTACATAGAAATATACAGGAAAAAATCTTTTTTTCTCAGGAACAGAAAAGCCATGATTAGTAAAATTGATATGGAGGCATCCTTGGGTAGTGTAGAATGAAATTTGTTCAAATCATGACCCCGGGGGTAGGGTGGGGCCACAATTGGGGATCAAAGTTTTACATAGAAATATATAGGAAAATATTTTAAAAAATCTTCTTCTTAAGAACAACAAAGCCATGATTGGTCATATTTATATGGAGGCATCCTCAGGTAGTTAAGATTCAAGTTTGTTTAAATCATGACCCCCGGGGATAGGGTGGGGCCACAATAGGGGATCCAAGTTTTACATAGAAATACATAGGAAAATATCTTTAAAAATCTTCTTCTTAAGAACGGCAAAGCCATAATTTGTCATATTTATATGGAAGCATCCTCAGGTAGTGTAGATTCAAGTTTGTTTAAATCATGATCCCTGGGGATAGGGTGGGGCCACAATGGGGGATCAAAGTTTTACATAGAAATATACAGGAAAATATCTTTAAAAATTTTCTTCTTAAGAACAGTAAAGCCATGATTGGTCATATTTATATGGAAGCATCCTCTGGTAGTGAAGATTCAAATTTGTCCAAATCATGACCCCCGGGGGTAGGGTGGGGCCACAATGGGGGATCAAAGTTTTACATAGAAATATACAGGAAAAAATCTTTTCCTCAAGAACAGAAAAGCCATGATTAGTAAAATTGATATGGAGGCATCCTTGGGTACTGTGGAATGAAATTTGTTCAAATGAGGGACCCGGGGGTAGGGTGGGGCCAATGGGGGATCAAATTTTTACAAATGAATATATGGGAAAAAATCTTCTGCTCAAGAACAGCAATGCCATTTGTTATATTGATATGAAAGCATCATCAGGTAGTTTAAAATCCCCCCCCCCGTTAATTTTTCAATACTTAACTGATTTTTGCTTCTTTTTTTTTCTAGCCAATGTGCTCAGGTGAGCGATGTGGCCCGTGGGCCTCTTGTTTTTTTTTGCCAAACATACACAACTATAATATTTGATTCTTTGTGTATTTCTTTAGACAAAAAAAAAAATTATCGTATCATCAATCAGATATTTTTAAAAGCTAATGTCAAACTTACACTTGGACTGAGTTCGTTTTGGAGCTTTTCATTGCATTTTGATCATGTCTTTGATGTGATCCTGGCAAGAAAAAGATCATGTTATCTACATGGACAAGTTGTTATAAGTTGGCTTGCTTCTCTAAATTTATACGATTTTTTCCCGTTTTGCACACATTTGAAAATTAGATACATGTATAAGAAAAATGTGTGCAAAATGGGAGTTTGTCGAGGTAAGATAATTACTTAATTAATTCAAGACAATTTAGTCTCTGAGTGCTCACTTTTCTTTCACTGATGATTCTTCCCCCTTTTTTGTCAGCTCGTTATTAATATGATTTTGTTTTAATGGCATTGCTTTATATATATATATATATATATATATATATATATATATATATATATATATATATATATATATATATATATATATATATATATATATATATATATGCAAATGTTTTCTTTTATATAACACTATTAAAAGCAACGCGTACATGTATCTCTATCCGTATAAACACGGGTTCCTCGCGTTATAAACGTTCGACGTAATTTCTCAGTGACGTCATGAAGGGTCGACGCGCAATCAGTGGATCAAACACGTGCCGTTGGGTTTGAAAAGGAAAACGTTTCACGTGTTAAAGATTATAATCAGGCAAATATAAATTATGAATAAGTCACAAATGTAAATATAAGTAATAAGGTATCATCTTAATACATCTATCGGGCTATAAATACGGGTTGGTACGAGATCAAATTTACCAAAGATGACAGTCTACCGGGGAAAGTTCAGATACCTATTTCAAGGGGAGAAAAAAGAATTGCTGATAAAATGGATGGTGGCCAGAAAACGAGAGATTCTTCCAAACGAACACATCAACGTGGTCAAAAAAAGAAAAGTTTTCCATCTCAAACATGTCAAAAGAAGCCATAGATGAAAGAATGTCCAAATGCCTGGCAAGCTCCCCCACGAAATTAAGAGATTTCAAGGTACCGGAGGGTATTAAACCTTGGCATATCTCTCGTGAGAAGTCAGGAAAAGTTTGGATAAGTAATTTTCTGGGTGATATAGTACAGACTGAAGACCAAGGAACACAGGTTATGGCTTTTAGAATACAAAGTGATGCGGGAGAAAATTATGGCTTCCATACAATTACGGATGATGGAGATTTGCTGTATATAGACAACAATGGAAAAACCATTCAGAGAATGACCCCTGTTAAGAAGTTTAGAAGGTTCATTATATAGGATATAGGATATTGGAGAGCACAAAGTGTCTACTCCTCTCCCGCTAGCGGAGATGTTCTGGTGGGACTAAGTGACGGCAAAGAAGCAAAGTTGACTAGATGCAGCAAAGCGGGAAAGAAGATCTTAGACATACAGAAGGACGACATAGGTAGGGAACTGTACAAGACGCCACGTTATATTACAGAGAACATCAATGGGGATATATGTGCATCAGATTTCTACAAACACGCCGTGGTTGTGGTGAAAAAATCAGGAAGACACCGGTTCTCTTACACACGTCAGGAGCCCCCAGGCAGCTTGCTGCCTACTGGAATTGCTACTGACAGCCTTGGTCATATCCTAGTTTGCAATGCCAGACTCCAGTGTAACGATGTCCACCTCCTTGATGTTGACGGTAATTTCCTATCCCTGCTGATCACAACACAAGATGGAGTGTCCGCTCCCCGACGTCTGTGTGTGGACTGTAATGACAATCTTTATGTAGGGGACATGGGCAACCAATTAGTAAATGTTTATAAATACCTTCGATCACTGAACGACTGAAATTAAAATGTGTTCTAGAAATTTGTAAAATGGTGTGTGTACATGACTTATTCATATTTTATATTTGCCTGATTATAATCTTTAACGCGTGAAACGTTTTATTTTTTAATATTAGTATTTTTTTTAATACTATTAATAGCAAAAAGAAAATTGAATTTCAAACAAATGTTTTAGAGAAAATATGTATGAACCCTCTCTTTATTAACATATGAAATAAAATGAATCATTTATCACATATATTTTGTCAAAACTATTTTTTTTTTATTCTTTTCATCAAGGGCTGATAACTCTTCAAAAACGTTTACGATGCAAAGTGACCGGCTTCTTATATATTTTCAGAAATGTGTATGCAGTTCATTTTACCTTCATTGTTATCTAGTAGTACATATTTAACTAGTTTAAATTAATGATTGTTCAATATTCCGTCATTATACATTGAATACCTTAAAGTAAATTCTCTTAATTTTGCGACACCCGTTTTGTACCTAGAGTAGGATTTCCCTTCTAAAATCTCTGCCCCGGAAATTTGTCTCTAGAGCAGGATTGCCCCCGGAAAATAGACTCTAGTCAGTAGGATTTTCCCCACGGAAAAATTACTCTAGAGTAATTTTTTCGTGTGGGAAATTCTGCTCTAGATTCAATTTTCAGGAATGGGGGAGGGGGGGGGGGTTCTACTTTGTGTAATAGTTATAGAGTGCGATTTCCCCTAAGCTACCCCCAATAAAATATCATGACTGTACTTATGTATGAGGGAGAGGTTGCGAAACATTGTTACAAGTTTCCCTTGTTCAAAATGGCGACCAGTTCCAATGAAACAAACAATTTATGGAAATTTAAAATTTTAAATCTCATTTTTCTCAGTAACTGTCCAACTAACTCTAAAGAAGCATTTAAATCTTATTCTTTCATATGGTCAAACTGGTTTCTGAAAATAAATTGGCACAAAGTTATCGGTTGGACAAATTTTTAAGTGTATCCATAGAAACAAAAATGAATAATATTTTAAATGGAATTAAATTTCAACTACATGTACATAATATTGATATTTAAGTGTTTATGGTGTTTAAATATCCAAAATAGCTTCAGTTGCAATGGAACTAAAAATGAGTCATTTATTTCTAAAAATTAAAAAAATTCCAGGACTTATCGCATGCTCTTAAAAAAATCATAATTTTATGAAAAAAATTATCTAAAACATTTTTTATTAAAATACTGAACATAATAAATGGTGTTACAAGCATATTTTCAGCGATATTAAGAGTTGAAATTCAAATACAGCGATATGCATATTTCAATCGGATTTCGGCACCATACTGCTGTGACGTCATATGCGACAATTCAGTATAGAGAGATAGGAATATACACACTGTTAACGGAGTTATCCAAGACAAATGCGGTATAAAATACGAAAAATGCCGAAAAAAATATCTAGTAGACGTGCTTTTCAATTACTATAGAAATTTAAATTAGTTTTAATTTTAAGTATTATTATTGAATAAAAGATGAAAATATGTGTATTCTTGCATTATTACAGGACTACGGTGGATGTACATAGTGGCTTCATGTCGGTAAAAAAAAATGATGCTAATGCACGAACAAAGTTGCAAAATTACTACTGGGCTTTTCAAATTTTAACTGTAGTCTATAATAATTATAAAAGAAAAGGTAATTAATAACTATCACAGTTGACCACCTTCTCTTCTTTGAGCATTAAATATTCTAATTATCCCCCGGCGCCCTTCTAAAATGGAATATGATTCAATCGGTTATTTACCATTTAACTTGATTAAAATCTATGTTTTGTAATAGCTATGTTTTAATTTATTTTATTTTACCAAATCTACTGCTATTTAAAAAAATTAATCTGCTTTTTTAGCTCACCTGAGCTGAAAGCTCAAGTGAGCTTTTCTGATCACATTTTGTCTGTAGTTCGTCTGTCTGTCTGTCTGTCCTTCATTTTCGACTTCTTCTCCAGAACAACTGGGCCAATTTCAACCAAACTTGCCACAAAGCATTCTTGGGTAAAGGGGGTTCAAATTTGTTCAAATGAAGGGCCACGCCCTCTTCCAAGGGGAGATAATTAAGAATTGGTGAAAATTTGGTGTCATCTTTTAAAAATCTTCTTCTCAAGAACCAATGAGCCAGATAAGTTTATACTTATGTGAAACCTTCATTACATAGTGTAGATTCAAGACCCCCGGGGGTAGGGTGGGGCCACAATGGGGGATCAAAGTTTTACATAGGAATATATAGGGAAAATCTTTAAAAATCTTCTTATCAAGAACAACAAAGCCACAATTAGTCATACTGATATGGAATCATCCTCAGGTAGTGTAGATTCAAATTTGTTCAGATCATGACCCCCAGGGGTAGGTTGGGGCCACAATGGGGGATCAAAGTTTTACATAGGAATATATAGGGAAAATCTTTAAAAATCTTCTTCTCAAGAACAACAAAGCCACAATTAGTCATATTGATATGAAATCATCCTCAGGTAGTGTAGATTCAAATTTGTTCAAATCATGACCCCCGGGGGTAGGGTGGGGCTACAATGGGGGATCTTCTTCTCAAGAACAACTAAGCCACAATTAGTCATATTGATATGGAATCATCCCCAAATATTGTAGATTCAAGCTCATTCAAGGCATCCTCCAGTAGTAGGGTGGGGCCATAATGGGGGATCAAAGTTTTACAAAAGAACTTATACAGGAAATATCTTTAAAAATCTCCTTCAATCTCAAGAACAACAAAGCCAAGATCAGTCATATTGATATGGAAGCATCCTCAGGTAGTGTACATTCAAGTTTATTCAAATCATACCCCCCCCCCCCCCCAGGGTAGGGTGTTAGACATGAATATATAGGAGAAATATAGGAGAAGAAATCTGCTGACGAAGAACAGCAGGGCCATATTGACTCAGGTGAGCGTTGTGGCCCATGGGCCTCTTGTTCTGTTTGTTAGTTAAACATTTGGATATTTGTCTTCGCCGCCTACCCATTCCCATCGTCGCTGTTATTTTACCGTGTTTACAGATTTTATTGATTTCCTACTGATGGATTTCAAACATATAAGGTTTGGTCATAAAATCAGTAATTTGGTCGTTTATAACGCAGAAATCCAGTTTATATCGCGAATATTTTAGTAAGATGATCAGCCATTGTCGCCTATGACGTATCACGGTCACGTGATCGCTATCTAATTAACTCGGATTTTAGGGATTTTTATTTGAGTTAAATAATGTTTAATAAACGCGGTATATTCGCTACTAAAAACACAAATCTTATAAACTACGATCGTAAGGAACGCTTTAACGATTTTAATTTCAAGTAATTTAGAAACATGCCATAAGTCCTTGAAACGAGTATTTGCTATCTGCTTTCAAATCCAATATACCGCTGGGGTATTGAAAGAATTATCTCCCGTATAAAATATGCAATCAGGCGGTACTTTTATTTTCCCTTTGTCTTTGACATTTTTCAATTTTTCTGGTCTTCTGAAATGAAAACAAAATGTCAGAATTAGCTGGTAGAGTGTTCTTAAAAGAATGAAACGAATTTTGCTTGCATAAAACGATTACAATATATAACCTGAAAAAAAGTTCGAATATATTCCTTCCTGACTTTTCAGAGCTTCTCTTTTTACCTTCATTTTGCAAATGATTGGCCTAATCTTGTTAAAGTGCAGAAAGGTTTCAACCTTTTCATTTGGACCCAAGGAGTCTCCGAGGGCCCACAAATCAAATTCCATGGTCATAACAGGGCATGTTTGTGATAGTGAAGACATACAGATATAGAAACAACAGTATTGTGATTTAGCTTAAGGAAATACAGGCATCAGTTTTCTTCAGTGAGATAAATAGTTCCAATGTTCACAAATTTCCTTATATTGTTCTGAGCGAGATCTTAAATCATACTGTCCTTAGGAAAACCTATTTTGTGATTGATTTGACGTTCATGTTTTGATTTCATAAGATTATAAATATTTCAAATCACCTTCATCTGAATGAAGTTTACTTTTAAAAAAACCCAGCATATTAATATTCAATATATATGAACCTGCAATGCATTTCTTCCTGATATAGCTTAAAAAGGATTGAAGTAAATCAGTAAAAATGTTTGAGATAAGGTTAAGGTCAATTTCTAGTAATGATTTTAAAAAGCCTTTTGGTGCCAGGTGCAATATGACGTTACAATCAATTCAAACTTACTTTCCCTCGTACTTTATAGCTGTTACTGAATTATATAAAAATGAAGCATTTAATCATAAAATTCCATTTGAAATCAGCGTCACGGTAGCTCCGTCGGTAGAGCGCTCGCTCCGTGATCGTAAGGTCGTATGTTCGAATCACGGCCGCGACTGATCGATAAAAATAGGTAGCAACTGTTCCTTCGCCAAGCGCTCGGCACTTTGAAGTGAAATGCGGGTCCTTCGGATGAGACATTAAAAACCGAAGCCCCGTGTCACACTAGGTTGGTACGATAAAGAACCCTTACTGCTCAATGCCCCTGAGTGCCGAGTAAATGTCTAAATTTGAAGTTCTTCACCGGTTTATGGTGACGTCTCTATATGAGTGAAAAATTCTCGAATGGGACGTTAAACAACATACAATCAATCAATCAATCAAACAATCAATTTGAAATCACGTGAAAAGTAATCTGGATACTCATATTCAATAAAGTGTTATTTCTAGGAAGTCAAGAACATACAACTTACCATTTTCTAAGAGACTGTCGGCAATCTGAGTACATTTCTTTTGTGTGCCATAGAAAAAAAAAACCCTCCCAATTTCCTAGCTGATTTTCGTCATTTTCATTGGAAATGACAGTTTAAAATATATTATTTTGTTGTGTTTGCCAAATAATTATACCCCTATACACCTTATAAACCAAGATATGGTAATTCAGAATCATTAAAAGATTGATTAATTGTATGTTGTTTTACGTCCTTTTC